GCAGTGAGGCAAATGAGACAAGTTTTATTAAAAACTGAATAAAACCCTGCTGATAACCAATCACATCAAAATGCAGCTTAAACAAGGCACCAAAAAAAATTAGTGATTGGTCAGTTGAGTTTACTAATTACGGCTGGGTTAGGTTGTTCTGCGTGGTTCTTCGGTGCAGCTTTGTCTATTTCGGGCTCAAACTTAAAGAGCTGTTTTGTATTATTAGGGTCTACTGCCCCCCCCCAACAACGAGTGCATTTACAGGCACTTAATAATCTGATAACTGCAGAAAATCAGATTTTGTGAGTAATCTGTTCGACGTGTTTACACAGTCTTGGGGAATCAGATAAAGGGAAACTCCGAGTCTATAGGAGTCAGGCAGTAATCGGATTTCTGCTTTGCAAATGGCCATTAAACTCACAGAAGAAGACATGCTGTAAACGTAAAACTCAAACTTCATGCTGCAGCATTCTTTCTTTAACATTGCGCCACTTTACCTGAAAATATGAACATACGTCATCTAGAAGATGAAGAATATTTAAATCCTTCATTTCGTCAAGCATGTATTTGGTTTCAGCGTCGCTCCAAAAGTGTTTTGTTGCCATCTCGCAGGTGCTGTGTTAAATGCTATTTGCTTATTACCAGTATCGTCATCTGTTTGCACATGTGCAGACTGAGAGATCCGAAAGAAATCAGAGTAAGAGTATACATGCCCTGAGAAACCACAACTGAGCTCAAATCCAGTTCTCTTTATCAGATTTCTGAAACGGCTTTCTAGACCTTACTCTGATCTAAGAAATCAGAGTATGCTGTTTACATGACCATTTGAATAATCAGATAACTGCAGAAATCTGATTATGTTTGGATTATTGGGTGCATGTAAACATACTCGTTCACTGATGATTCATCCTCTTCATCAGATTTAAAAGTGACTTGAGAATCTGAAAAACTGGTACTGCAATTTTGATATCAGTCACCAGCTCTCTGCTATCAATCTTCACCAAACTCATTTTTCAGCTTAACACATGAACATTTACATCTCAAAAATGATATGAAATCTTCAAGGAGATCCATTAGTGTTAGTTTGGCTTTAAAAGCAAACAAACTCTGAAATGCTTTATTATGTTCCTATGATGCACACGGCCATTTTGACAGACTGCAATCCGTTACAGGAAGTGTTGGAGGCGTTTACTAACCTGCCACTACAATCCTATCTGGAACCTGCATCATGGCGGTGTGTAGCGCCTCCTGTGCTGTGGCGTCCTGGTCCTCCCCTCCAAATGGTGCCACCTTCAGCATCTCGGGGATGCGCATGCGCTGGCTGATGCCCTCTGTGTACTCAAGCTCATAGTGGATCCGGTTCATCTCCGCCATCTCAGCTGTGGGAGATGGAAATGCCGCTCCGTTCATCTGTGTCGGGACAGAAATAAGCAGATATTTCAATGCAATCTGGCAACAATCAGAGCTTACTTTAGTTATCCAACTTTAGTTATTTTCAAAGTTATTCAATAAATATCCATATATCCATTCATAAAGGTGGTCCATTTAACCACATTTTGGGTTATTCAAAATGGTGGTGGGCAATATGACCATACTTACTGCTATGCTATTATCAGCACATTATATCACAATAAGTCTTTCTGAGCATACTGAATATTACTAGTGCTAAAGAACACTGACCAACTGCATGTTTCATTACAATGAGTGTGTAATTAGTAATAAAGCTGGAACAGGCAAGTAATCATAAAGCCACCTGTAAATTTTGTACCTGTCTTTTATGTAATATCTTAAGTGTGGTGAATGCTAGACATGTTTGGTCTCAAATAAACAAACATTAATCTCTAATGGGTCATTTCACACCTCACATAGGGCCTGAGTGGTTATATCATGGACTTCCATGAAAATACTAAAGCAAAAACTTCTAACTCATGCAACGATACAAAATTTCAAACCTGCTCAGTCATAAATGTTTAAGGTTCAAAATGGCTTCATAACTATACATCCATTTTGTCTGCCTTTTTTACCCTATATTTACTCAAAATGGACTAATCTCATTTTCTTCAAACCTTTACCTAAGTAAGGACAGTTATTCCTAATTAACTTACAAAAATACAGACGTTTTATGACTCTTTCATTGTTTAATACCTGATATATTTGAATAGTACATTTGAACAAATAGTAAAACCGTAACAAGGAGAACTGGATTCCAAGATACCATTTATGATGCTCAAGTAGGTCTGTACCCTTTTTAAGAGGTGTGGAGTAACTCTTAAGCATTTGTTTGAGTAATTTAAGAAAAAATGTAGAGAAACTGTCTTCAACCTTGTCAGTGTAACACTACATACACAGTAGATTTTAGGCCTGTTTACCAGCTCCATAAAACAGTCATGCAAAACTTGCTAAAATCAACTAAAACCATACAACTCGGATCACGTGACTACCAGCCAGTCAAGCCCCATGTGTGACAGGAGCATAAAGTCCGGATATTCCATTCAGCTGTAGCTCAGTTACAGATGTTAGCCTGATCTGAACCATAACATGGCAGAACAGGAATAACTGGATGCTGATACAGAAACTGCCCTCTAAATCAGAATTTGAACAGAATATGAGATTTTGACAGAACTAATACTCTCAGAAGTCCCTCCTCAGGACTGCAGTATGTACTGAACTGGAGCTGGGCGACATGGCAACATGTGATATCACAATATTTCAAGAAGTTTTCACAATGCACGATATGTCACAATATTTATTTTTTTTTTAGGTAAGCCGGAACAGACAAAGTAGTGCCAGGTTCAAATACTACGAAAAATGAAAAATCCAAGTATTTGTATTTAAATTTTCACATACTGCGCTGAACTAAATCCAATTAAACACGACTAATTATGCTGTCTTTGTAATCAAACATGCAGCTCAAAAGACAAAGCTGAAGTTTCCTATTCTTCAGTTTTTTGTTCGAATTTTCCCGTTCCACCTTAAATGGTCCAGCAGTTAAACGCTACACAGTATTGCCCAGAATGTAAGTGCTGCACCATTTAAGGTGGAACGGGAAAATTCGAACAAGAAGCGGACTTTAGCTTCGCACTGAAAAGTAATTTTTAAGTACTGAAGATATCCACGATACGTTCAGAAAAGCTTATTGTGCTATAATGTGAAAAAGTTTACCACGAAACCGATAAATATTGCTATATTGCTCAGCTCTATAATGAACTCAGCATTAGCACAAGCTGGGCAAGGCTGGCCCTCTTCCGTCTTGTGACCATCACGACGTGCTATTTTAAGACAGCTCCTTTCCGAAATGACTCCAAACTCAGGCAGACTGTGTTGACTGCCTAGCCTTTTTCCTGTTATCAAAACTGTGGTGTGTTTACAATTTACAGCTATCTCCTTACAGGTAAACCACACAAACCCCGCAAACACCTGTCCTGCGCTAACCGCTGTTAACCTAGCCAATTCAGTCGACCGCAACGGAAAAAGGAGGCTAACGCTAGCGAGGAGCATTTGTCACTAGACAATAAAAACATTAAAACAAATCAATAGGGCTTAATTCCAAACGGCGCGTAGCTAGATTACTGATACCCAACATCAGCCAGTCATAAAACCATAAACATGACGGAGTGCAGCTAACAGGCTAGCTAATAATGTAACAGTCAACGCTGCACACACCGTCAGCACGGACTGTCGGAACGTAACCGACAGCGTTCGGCTCAGCACAGCAGTCCGCTAAACTTCACCTTCTCCGAGGCCGGATCCACTGAACAGAACGAGGACGCTAAGCCTGACAGAAAACAGAAATCTGCTGATAGTTACTCAGATAGAGAGCAACATGTCAGGACAGAGCCGCAGCATCCCCGCCGCCCTGATACGGTCAGCGAGCACCGCGGAGGAGAGGAAGCGAGCTGTGTTTACACCGTCAACACAATCACGTTTTCAAATTAAAAGTCCTCTCCGGTCTGTTTTAAACAACATCGAGTATTGAGTGAGTACCAATCAGTGTGCTTTAAATTCTTGAAAATATGTTAATTAAAATGCTTGAAAAAGTAAATATGATTTATCTGTCAAAGGCAGGCTAAAAAAGTCACCAGGTCGTAGTAAGTAGGTACTTGAAGTCATATGAGGCGATTTCTTTCAGATTTCCAATGATTTCCAACGGATCTCTAACAGGTACATTTCCAGTTCAAAGTTTCATGTTGTAATTCAATAATTTAATATAATGCATTTAAATTACATATAATTATTTAATATATGCACAATAATGCACTGCAATGTAAGTGTTCATCATAATCATCATCATTATTATTATTATTATTATTATTATTATTATTATTATGAATAATGAAGAATTCAAAAGAAAATATGCTGGTAAATACATACTACTTTATATACAATATATAATATAAAATAACAAAAATGACTTACTTTAAACAAAACAATTATTAATTGAATTCTAAAAATAAAAATGAATACCACACAAATAAATAAATATTATTTGACTTAATAAAATTGTAAATGTTTTATTTACAGTGCACCCCATAAGCACAAGGCCGTAAGTACAAAGTACATCTTAAAAAAAACAAAAAAAAACAAACAAACAAACAAAAAAACACAGAAGTGCGATGAGGCGTCATTTTAAAATAAAACAAACATAAAAGTCCCATTTGGAGTAGAAGAGCAATACTTTCCTCAAATACTTGGAGCTTTGCAACGTATTTTGAATCTCTCAATGTCTGCTTATCATTGTGATATGATTTTTTTTTGTTTTTGTGATTATTTATTTATCCTGCTTATATATTTATTTGATTGTATTTCACTTTTTTGTTTACAGTATTTTGCTGCTGTTAATTTACCCATTTAGTGTAGTAGTGATGTGTGCTGTAATTGTTATGAATAATGGCATCAATAAAAAAGTCCCATTTGGAGTTGCATTCTGTGGCCTCTGGCAGCTGTGATTGCTGAACGTTTAACACACACACACACACACAGGGAGAGAGAGAGAGAGAGAGAGAGAGAGAGAGAGAGAGAGAGAGAGAGAGAGAGAGAGAGAGAGATGCTTCTTCTTTAAGTTTATTGACTTTAAAGCTGCATATTCCGTATATTTGAATGGAAGCTAAAGTTGATGATGAGCTGGTGGGAGTTCTGAGCGGACCATAGGCTGCAGCTTCATCACTTTCAGCCCGGAGAGATCTCCTTTTTTCCGCTCTGTACAGAATGAGCGTCGCGGGGGTTTTGCTCTGGTGTGCGGTCATTTCGTTCGCCTCATCGCTGGACCTGCAATCGGACATGTGAGTAACTCCACTTTTATGAACATGTCAGTTATCAATAACGTGACGAAGCTGAAGGCAGCTTCGTATTCGAATTTTCCCGTTCCACCTTAAATGGTGTACCAGTTACTGTTATAACGTCCGTGGCGCCAGAATTAACTGCTGCACTATTTAAGGTGGAACGGGAAAACTCCAATAAGAAGCTGGCGAATAGGAACCCAACTTCAGCCTCGTTATAACGTGTCAGTTAATGTGCTAAAATCATCCGGGTGCGTTTCCCAGGGGAATTCTAGTGTAAGAATACTGAACAAACGTGGAGTTAAAAGTGGGAAACTTATATGTGAGAAAATGAAACCAAAAAAAGGCAGAACAGTATCGATATTTTGAGATGAAAGTATGGGGCTTGTAGCCACGAGCCTGTCTTGGAATCAGACCAAGTCTAACTAAAAGTGTTTTAATTTTTTTATAGAATATAGATTTTTTTTTGTTCCGCCAGTGTTAAAACACTAATGAAGTGCAGTAACTATAACTGTCCGCTAGAGGCCCCTATGCTTCCAGCCCTTATTGTAGAGACCTTTATGTGATGTTTGTAGCAGCTATGGACATTTACTCAGTACAAGTACTTGTACAGTACAAGCGAACTCCACCGAATTTTCAAAATTTCTGCATAATTTAATCCTTGACATGTACACAAAGTAATTCAGAGAGGTTTGAATTAAAATGGTGGTTTGTAGAGAAACTTGCTCACTCAGATTTGTTTACAATGGCGGTGATAGATTTTATATGCAATATTGAAAATGATTAACTAGTAGTAAATCTGAAAAAAAAGTTCTCTTTGGGTACTCTTTCTCCTTAAAACTCTTTTTAGGTTTATTGTCATTATGTACAATTACTAACATCCCCTTGGTCTGCTCTTCTGTTGCTCAGCCCTTTTATTTTTGGGCTATAGCATTTTATTTACAACTGAACAGATCCCAAAAAGATAATAATAGCACCTAACAAACTTTAGTTCATATCCTGGATGTGCTAAGATGTTCCACTGCAGTTTCATAGACAACTCAGTACTGGAGGAGTATTTTGACCTGCTAATGTTTTTACTCAGGTTGTTGTTTGGTAGCTACTTTTCTTTGTACTTGAGTAATTGTTTCATTGATGTAATCAGACTTTTACCTCAGGATGATTTTAGGCTCTTTTATCCACATGTGGATAGTGCAGAGACAGGTGGGCCTCACTGGGAATTGTTGAATAGTTGGGAATGTTTTTTCATAGCACATCTCTGGAAGGTAGGCTTTACTTCTGAAATATTCTCAGTTATAGATACAATCAACCATTTCACATCACATCGTTCTGAATGACTTTGTATACGAATGCAAGAATTTTGGAAATTTGGTGGAATTCTCCTCAAAAAGTAGCATGGGCTCTATTGAACCCAGATGACAAAGAGAATGATGGCCCCAACATTAATGTAAACGGCTTTGGCTCAAGAATGCGGTAGGCCCTGTCTGAGTGAGTCCATGTAATGTACAGTTTTATATTGCTGGCTTCTCCTGTTATATTTATGAAGGTGAACTGCATGTTCAGCGATATTTCAGACTTCAGCTGAGCCCAGAAAGCATATGAAAAGTTTAAATGGTGCCCTGCCTCTGCAGAACTCATGAGAAATGAGTTTAAAGTGTTCTGTATGTGTGTGTGGTGATGTACTTCACTCTTTTTGGGGATGAAGCGCCCTCAGGAACTGCATGTTTCATGACAAGGAAAGCATAATTAGGTTCGTTTAACTTAATTCAGCGCAGTGCAGTATGTGAAACATTTTAAAATATGGCACTACTGGTTCTTTTTTCTCCATTTATCTCATCAAATCTCAGAAAAACTAAATATCATGGTGCATATAGTGTATTGAGAAAACGTCTTATCATGGGATTATGCTTTTGACATATCGTCTGGCACTAGCTTGACGCTATAGAAACTTTCGACCAGTCCCTTTCGGATAAATGCTTTATTACAGACTTTTTTAAAAAAAAAAGTTAGAGCTGCACTATGTAAAATTTGGGGCTTTGGAGACCTCTCTGGTGGAAATTTGTAATCGCATGCAAAGTGCAGAAGAACATTTTGTAATGTCAGTTGTTCTTCAGCCCCCCCCATGAGTGGATGAATCTGATGAAAGTCAGTCAGAACTTGGTGAAGGACATGTCTTCTATGTTTGTGAGTGAATTATCTACTATTGTCATCATATATTTATCAGTAGGATATTGATTTTGCATTTGAGACCTAAGCATCTAGCCTTTTGACTCTGTACATGTGATGTAATACATAAAGACAGATGACGCAAAAAAAAACTTGACCCAATGTCTCTGACTTTTAAAGCCGCAAGAGTAATAATATCATACCACACACAAACTATTAGCAAATACATGATTAAAAGCAGATATTCTTTGGAAATTTCAAATGTAGTATGCAGCAGGGGTTCTCAACCTTTTCCACCTCAAGGCCCACCTATTTATCACTGAAAAGCATGAAGGCCCACAGGAAAGCTAAAAAACGTTTTGCTTAAAAAAGCTTTTTTGGGAAATTTTCAAGTGTCATCAATGGCCCACTATAGATCCCTGGAGTAGGCCCGGGGACCACCAGAGAGTGCTTCCCAATGATCAGTGGTTGAGAGACCCTGGTCTAGAGTACTGACAATATTTCTTGAGGATGTAGCAGTAGTAAATGAGGATATGGACCGCACAGTGAAGGACCCATAGACAGTGTTTTGGTAGCCCTGCGGTCACAAAACTTGTCTTTGTCTCAAAAGGCAATGGGTTCAAACCCTGTTGATGTCAACTGCCATTGTGCAAGCCACTTAACCTCAAATCTCTCCAGAGAGTGGGCCACCAACCCCCTTCCTGTAGATGTGCTACACTGCAAACTTACGTTCCAGCTCTAATGAAACACCTCTGGTTCTGAATATTAACTATATTGCCTAACTAAAACCAGTGTTATGTTCAAAGATCAAATTTAGGCAACTTTCTCCTTAATCCAAATGTAGCTGATTAGCCAAGAGCTACACTGCAGCCAAGAAGCGGGGCTTGGGGGGTTTACACCTCATTTTTCTGAAGGCAGAAAAGTGTTAGCTGTCTTTTTTTCTTGTGAACGCTACACACTTTTTTAGTGCCCTGCATCTACCTGTTGCTAGCAACAACAGCATCACAGCTGTCTGTCAGCTGTGCCAACTACCTAGCTATCATTTCAGGCACCACTATTAACTAGCAAACGTGGTGCTGCTAGCAAAGACAAGCTGAAGTAAAAAAAAAAATAATATGTGAAGGACTTCAAACACCATTTTCTATTTACAACTGGACACTGGTCCCCCTTCATTGGTCAGCACATAAAAAGCTTATGATATAGGCTATTTGACTGCTTTGAGTTGAATTTTTGTCAACCCTCCATTATTTGTGCTGGAATGAGCTGGATCCAGATAAGGTACCTCAGTAAGGTAAACACATTCAGGCAACAATATGTAGAAATTTGTCAAGAAAAATATTAATAACGTTTTGTACAAAGTCAATATATATATAGCATAAGCAAATATTATAAGTGTTTACAAAAAAGTTATGTAAAAAGTGGCATGCTATGACCATGTGACATGGCCCTCCTTCTGTTTGGGTGTGTAGCGCTAAGCTAACCCACTGGCTTGTGACATCAATTTATTAGCTAGTTAGCATTAGCATTAGGTTTTCGGAAAACCTACATATGTGAGAAAGTTCAATGCTTAAGAGCCTTGTTAACAGATATGTTAGTCGAAAGATGCAAGGTTATAGGACAATTCACACTGAGCTGTGTATCTGATGCAATTTTTGTTTTTTCCTCAGGCCCAAATCAACCTGCCTGAATGCTGTTCTGGGACCTCATCATTTTCAAATTAGGTTCCGCTAACAAGTAATAGAAGCTTAATGCAGTTTTATGGTATAAAGCCAGCGTGTTGCTAATTTAGTTCAGCACATTGTTCCTGTTTGTGACCAGTTGCTATTTTGATGGTCATAAATGATCAGTAGGGGGTGTGCCATTCAAAATCTGCTATTTGTGCGATGCTATTTTCGAACCTATTGTGGCTTGCATTATTCCTCCCCTGACTTGAAGTGTAAGCAGTTCAACTTTCTTGGCACAAAACTATAGGTAAGATATTTTATTTAGTAGATGTAGTTTAGATGTGATATGAACTTAAACAACCAAACTACATTTTAAAGTTAGTGAGCTAAATCCTAGGGCTCAGGCTATGTTCGAAATAGTCTACTACACACTGCTCACATACTGATTGTCCCCAAATCTAGTAAGTAGAGTGCGGTATGTGACAAACCTGAATTTCTCCAGTTCGCTAAAGATACACAGTTGATGCAATACTCCGGCCAAATATTCCAGTACGCAGCAAGAGCTATCTTCATCGTACTGCATCCCAAAACGCAACACTGTCGTTTCAGGAGGACGTAACCACTGATGTACCTGCCTGGTTTGCTCAGAACAGTTTAATAGCCCCATGTCAGGCTTTCTTAATATATATATATGAAATGGAAAGAAATTATTTGTCCTGCTGCTGCTTGAGCTGTCTATTTAATAATGTAAACTAACTACGTAGATAACACGGTTTAAACATTAACTTAATAAAGTTGGCCTCAACCAAACAATCTGCTCAGCATTCAGGCTCAGTCAAACTAGCTTATATTACCAACTATGTAGTAAAAATGAAATGCAAACACAAAAGGAGGAGAAAAGGTGTGTTTGGAAACCACACAGATGAACACGCTCAGCTCTTAAAATGAGTGAGAGGAGTTGATTCTAATCCCACCCCCATGATGCTCTTCGGAGCAGATTTGCTTTTATCTATTGTGTGCTATTGAGTTCATACTTGATCCAGGGGTAGATTTATATAAATGTATAAATTGCCACTGGCCACTTGGGCCAAAATTAAGAAACAGGTTTGTTGTACATACATTGTATTAACAATTAATAAGCATGCTTGAAGACTGAAAGCCAGGCAGATGTCGCGTCTGATGAGTCCTCCATGTCCACTTCACTTTTTTTACAGCTGTCAAACCAGAGAATGATGCTTGTTTTTTATCAGGCTTTATATGAGCCCTGCGGGTTTGTTTTTGGGATGGCTGAAGATCATAGCTCTATAACAGCATGTAAGGTGAAAGCAGTAAAGCCTTGTTTTAATAACCCAGCTATTGCGGCAGGCTGCGAGAGAAATGAGTTCTAGAAAGAAGTTGTCACTCGCCGCCACATTAGCCGTCACAGTGGTCACGTTAACGTCACAGATGGCGATTCCGTTTTTCATGAGACAGAAAAAAGTAGTTTTATTATTAATAGAGGATGCTTGTGAATGTGCAAAAGTTCAACCAGTCTGGTGGTTTGTGACTGTAAAAAGGTAAGAGGTAATGGTTTAATGGTCTTTTCTTGTTCATAGTTTACAGGCGTAGACCAGACTGGCCGATTAGCAACTACTTGCTAGCTATATTTGCTTGGTAGCTAACAATGGCTGGATTGTGCACACACACTTATAAAAATGTCTACACAGTTACACAGTGTGTACAGTTAAGCAAAGCTGTGTTCTTCACACTCATTCTGTTAGCATACATGCTATAAAACATTAGAATTAGCCACATTGCTAACAAATGCATTGTTAGCAATGCATTGAGCCCTAGTGTTGTTGAAGATCCAGGGCTCAATCTAGTTTATTGGAGGATTATTTTTGAGATATCATCCCTGTTTTTTTTTATTTAAAGTGTAAAATGTGCAGTTGATACTTTTTTTAATTAATATGAGAATCTGTATATCAACAACATGTGGAGTGATTCAGAAGTGATGATTGGGTCTTCATAAAATTCATAAAAAGCATAAGAAAAAATGAACGGAAAATGAAAAAAACAAGTTTGTCAGAAACAGATGTTTCCCCAGTAATGCCATTATTAAAGTCCTCTGCACATTTCCTCTCTCTCTCCACATCTTCTGATGTCCTGCTAACACACAAACATGCTTGGTGTTTTCCAGGCGGCCCACTGGTGGTTAAGCAGAGATTTAGACAAAATTGCTCTTTTCAGTGCTCATTTTGCACTCGCAGTCTAATTTACTTATTTTTCATTCATCTCTTTATTTAGTTATCCATTGTAAATTAGTTTAGCAAGTAATTTTAATACTAATATCATAAATACAGGGAGTTATACAGCAGTAAAAGGCTATGCGCATTTAAAATCTGTTTCAGGAGATTAAAAACTAGTTAGACCTTGTCTGCAGGACAGTAATCTGGGTGGTCTGAGGATGGACCAGTAGTGGCATGCAATTGGCAGGCTGCTGACCTTATCAAGCCAGCAGATGGATATATGCTTGCTAGCCGGGTCAGTAAAACACTTCTTGACTAAAACCAAACAAGAAACAATCTTTTTAAGTATTATATTTATAAATATTATTTTAAATATAGTATTGAATTTTTTTATACAGTCAATTTTCTTCCTTATAGAAACATGAAATTTCAAAGTTTTATACACTCATGAAATTATCCATTTCAGTCTCTCTCTCTCTCTCTCTCTCTCTCTCTCTCTCTCTCTCTCTCTCTGAGTTTGAGGAGTAGGTGAATGTGTCCCTGTGTAATATTGTAAGGTTTGCGGCTGGTTATATTCTGGGCTACAGCCCTAGAAGCCAAGGCCAAGTGATGTCCCTGATTTCCTGCTTTCTTTTAATTATATGCATTTGTTCAACACACCCAATTAATACTTTGTTGTTTTTTTTTTGCAGCATAATATGGCTGATATCTCAACGACTATTGAAAATGATTGCAGTCAGCCTAAATTGTATTAATTTGATGTATTAATTGTGTAATAATTGTGACAGGCCTGTTTGTAGTGTTTTGCTAGTGGAAATTGCCCCGTTATTAAAAGAATGTGCTGACAGTGTTTTTCTTTCCCTCTTTCCTCTCTTTCCCTGTTCTTTTTCTCCTACACTCACTCACTGGTGGTTCTCCCATCTTCTCTCTCTCTCTTTCTCTCTGTCCGCAGGCCGAATGTGTGTGAGGACCAGGAGGTGCAGATGTTAGGTACAGTGCAGCCGTGCGTTCAGGCCTTTACACGCATGGTGAAAGTGTGGAAGCAGGGCTGCTCTCCCCAGCGCTGGTGCATGGGCTACGAGAGGAGGTGAAGAACATACTCACGCTCAATATACTGTATCTATAAACTGTCTGTATCTGTCTGCATCTATTATCTATAAAATTGGCCAAAAGTACCAACAATATTTAGGCTTTGAGATACTAGACTGACATACATTGTCCATTTTAATAAATAACAGTATGTCGTAAATAACAGTGTCAGAATAAGCACATAAATAAGTCTATTTGAGATTACTTAACAACTTGTCTCTTTCTGAGGCAACTATGTGATGATTTAGGCATGCAGTTTGGATGTTGTCACATCATTTTAGACAAATTGTAGACAATTAATTACCATATAAGGACCATTCTAACGAATTAGTTCAAACTGCGTTCCTGTGGTAAACTAAAAAACTAAATACACCACTCAGTATTCAGACCTTAGATATATACAAGGATTATGTTAATGTCTATTTAAACACAATGCATTTATAGAGACAGTAATCAGCTAAATATATACAAAAACATCATTTATAGGATACTTTCCATTGGGTGGTCTGTCCTAAACCCTAACCGCTAAATTTACACTAACTTTTTTGCTTTCTTTCTTAAAGTAAAGTAGGAGGATTAAGTTTAATTTAAAAAAAAAAAACAAATTCAAAAATGCTGTCCCATGTTTTCATGTCACTACTGAAACACAAAGTGCTTTAGTCCATAGCCAGAGCCCTATTTTAGCCACGCCCTGCATTTTAGAGCAGGGAATGAGACCGTATCCCTGCCCCTCATGACCACATGGTGGACCCCATTGTTCCCAAACACTGAAAATCAAAGTGTAATATTTCAAATTGCCAATACCAAAACACATATTTTCTGCAAAGAGGTACACTTTTTTGTGTTTTAATAAAAAAATATTATGATTTTTTTGTGTATATAGCTGTCCAAAGCTGAGCTAAATTTTGTGTTGTGACTGTCTTGGCAGTGACAAAATGGTCTTTTGCTTTAAGCGTCACTCAAAGCAAAAGGATTTTAGTCTAAAGGTCAATTCAATTAAAAGTCCAAAATGTGTTTCGGTAAAATAGTCTATAAATAATTGAGATTAACAATTTGTTGATTTTTATTCATTGTATGCAGCTATTAAAGTTTAAGCCCAGTGTGGCAAAAATAGCTGATTAACCTGCTGAAAAAACAGCACATCAGAAATTCCATGCAGGTTTATTCTGTTTTATGCTGGTCTGTTGCTGTTTTAGCTGGTCACCCAGAATGGTCATGGTGGTTGACCAGTGTTTCAGCAGTCAAAGCACAGTATATCACTGCTGTCAGAGCAAAACCTCGTATCTCCATTTTTGTTGTTTTTCAGTTTTTGACATAATTTGAAAATGCCCACTGTCCTTTACATTGTTTGTAAATTTCATGATAAATGGACCAACAGAAATGATCCAAAATGACTTGGAAAAAGTCTGGTTCTATTGACTTACCTTAAAAGTAGAGGATGTTTTTCCTTCTCCTGTAAAGTTCTCATTTTGGAGATACGAGGTTTTCTTCCGACACCAGTGATATGCTGGTTTTGCTGGTGAACAGCATATTAACCTCCATTGCTGCTGACCAGCATACCAGCATCCAAAACACAACGTGTAAGCTGTAAGTACTTAGTGACGACAGACATAAACAAGCATTACTCACTGCTGCCCTCTAAAGGTGTTATAGCCCCGAGGCAGAAATGAAAACATCTGGTCTTTATTTACACCCCTTTTTAGAAGGTAGAGAAAATTATGTGCAAAGCTGGCTGCAGCTAGTTGCCCAAACTTTAGTAAATCGAGTGGAATATCTAATCTGCTGCAAATCTAAATACTCTGGCTTTTTTATGTGATCCCGCCATGTTTGTGCGATCCTTTGTGCGATTTTTTATTTATGTACATGCCACGTTTTTATATATGTATGTGGTGCATTAAATGTGCATTTAGGCATATATGTACTGGTATTAATACATATATGTATTAATATTAATGTTTTTTTCTGTACGGGGGTTGCGAGATGTTACGCATGTGATTTGAATACAGTTGGATTTCAGGCTATAGAATGTGTGGTAACAGGAACAGTTTCTGTAGTTCTCTTTAACAGAAAACACACTGTTAGAAATAAAGGTTCTGTGCAGGTACATTTTTCGTTCATCAAGGTACAAACAATGTAAACGTACTCTCAAAGGTACAACAGTGGTTTTGAGGTCCAATTGTGTACCTTAAATAAGTTTTTCCAGGTGAAAAGTACAACTCCAAAAACAAATTTGGGACACAGTGTAAAATGTAAATAACATTAAAAACAGTCGTAATATGTAAATGCAGCATTTACATATTACTGCTGTTACATTTATGATGGAATGGAACATTTTAATAAGAAGCTGGCAAGTAGGAAGCCAGCCTCAACCTTGTGGAAAAAACGAGTCTTAGAAGCTACTTCTCCCTTTAGGATTCAAGCAGCCGCTAAGTGCTGAAACAGATAACTTGCACTGTAAAGACATTAATAACTACTGATTTGCACCTCTATTTGTTTGTAGAATCCCTCTTTATTTGGTTGTAGAGTCCAGCTCTGTTTGATTTTAAGTCTATGCTAGTGAGATTTTCATCTGTGTGAATTCTCTCTCTCCTCTCTCTCTCTCTCTCTCTCTCTCTCTCTCTCAGGACAGGTTACTATACTGCCTATAGGCAGGTGTACAGTATGGAGCTGCAGACTGTTTATAAATGCTGTCCAGGATGGACACAGAGAGGAGAGGAAAGAGGCTGCTTACACAGTAAGTAAACTGGACACCCAAAGGTATTTTTATTTATCGGCCTTGAGAAGTTTAATTTATTGTGGATATTTGTTTTACTGTAACTTAACTTTTTAATTTTTGTACTGTAATACTGTATATGGGCTCACACTTCAATTTCTTCAATCACTCTGAAAACTACATAATAATAGGAATAACTGGTAAGACTAAAGAGGCTGACAGCTCAATGACAAATCTCAGTGATCCTAACAATCTTTGACCATATGATCATTAACCAAAGAAAAAAATCCCAAACAATATTTCAAAAGTAGATAAAAGCTAGAAAAACTCAACTTCTCTGCCTGATCAGGACTGTGTGGGCATTTCACACTGTACAGTAATTGAGAGTGGTGAATGTAAGCAGCCCTCTGGCAGCAGGTGTTTTGTTAAGCTTTTATTTTCTGGCAGAAGTCAGAATAGCCTGTGTGAGATATCAAATTATGGAGGTAAAGTTGCATCTAGCTTTGTGGTAAGCGGTGCTGTGGAACTAATGTTTTGTAAAGTAGGCACTTCAGATACATTTTTACTAAAGCTGTGTATTACAGTCTATTTACTACAGTAAAAGGGTGTTTATAAAATACTAGCTAGCCTGCTCACTGGTAGTTGGTCAGGCACAACTAAAGAGCCTGTGGCTTGCTTTTTCATGGATAAGATGTAAACAAAGTAATTCAGAGTGGTTTGGTGTGAAATGCTCTGTTTTAGAGAAACTTGCAGAGTCAGAATTGTTCACAGTGCTGGTAGGAACAAGACATCCACCTCTAAAAGCTCCCTCACAAACAATTTCAAATGAAATGATTACAATATGCTGCCTGCTGCTGATATTATTTTACAGTATTTTTGACATAAGAATTCGAGCTAAAATGAATTTTTCAGATGCATTCAGGGTGCAGAGAAATAGTCCCCACACTACCATTTTACCCTCATCAGCATTACATATAAAAACTCAGAAGACACGTATACGTTCACATCTGGTTAGTGAATAAAATGGCTATTGAGACGTAGCCTTTAATATTGAGATGTGTTGTAGACATGGACTGGGGTCAGTTGAGGTCAGCGTTTTCCAATACAGTCTCACCCAACTCAAATCCAAAAATCTCTCAAAGGAAATTACTAATAATGCTCTTTTATGACACAACAGCATATTCATACAGCAGCCTATAGCTAAAAGCACAAATAGATAAATAATTTGTCTCTGTCTGTGCATGGATTCTCAATTGCAGGACTGTGCTCAGATGGAACATGTTTTAATGGAGGCAAGTGTTCAGACACAGGGGATGAGGTGTGTGAGTGTCCTGCTGGCTTCCAGGGAGCGCGCTGTCAGTACGGTAAGTTAGAAACTACTGTGTGTGTGTGTGTGTGCGTGTGTGTGTGAACACCGTATACGTTTTTTAAAAATCCATACCTTGTACTTTCCCTCACTGACCACTCTTATACCATTAAATGTATACAGTTACAGACTGTAGCCTTTTTGTTGACATACACAGTTATCTATCTTCTATCTCATTCATCAGCGGACAGTTTCAAGGCGGCCAAGGCTGCTGGTGACCAGATATTATGTGAATGGTGGATTGTTCTCAGCACAGACGTATCACTGATATGGTAGTGGTATGGTAGTGGATGTGGTGCTGGTACGAATTGATTAGGCAAAGCGGTGTTAGTGGAGTTTTTCACACTGTGACTGTGAGGTTGAGACAGTTTTACACACTGTCACTGTGAGGTTGAGAGAGTCCACTTCCTTGTAATTAAATGTATATGATGTTTTGGAACCATATCAGAATAAGCTAATAATTGCTCAAAAAAGTATTGGCATCAGCCAGATGTTTAGATTTGACCATTATTAACCAATATTTGATGATATGTTTATTATATTCTGGAAGAGCAGACTGTTCAGACAGCGATGGGCTGCTGTGACAAAAAGTCTGCATTTTATTTATTTTACTGCATTTATAACCCTTTTTGAAATAAATGCTACTTTTCTCAGCAATGCTAAAGCAGGGAATTTAGTCATTCAATTAATGTACATAAGAAATATTGCACATCAGCATCGGCCCAGCAAGTGCTTACCTGCACTGGGACCCTGCTCTCCCACATGGACAGCAAGTAATTTAACTATTTAGCTAAATGGCAGGTTACAAAATACTTTTCTGTACAGCTCAAAAACTGCTGTATCCTGAACTACTAGCCTGTAAAACTTGCTGACTATTTTCACTCTCAGTGTGTAAAAAGAATAGACCGTATGGTGAAATTTTTGAAGCAGTAATGCTTTCTGACACAACAAACATGCATCACCATGAGGAGTTTTTGAGGAATTTTATAGGCCTCTATTGAAAATAAACATATTGATATTTATTTGTGTTTGTAGCCTATTTGCTTAAGGGAAAGGTTAGTTAGATTTCTGTTAACACCGCAAGAAAAAAAATGTGGCACATCCTGTCAGATGTATGCTATTTAAATAATAATTTATTAACATCATTATGATTTCCAACAGCTTTATTGAACATCCTTTATGTCCATATCATGCAGCCCTAGTAGATATGTATTGTTTATCTGTATTGAGAAAGTTTCTTAATAATCTGTAAATTGTCTACCTGGGACCATCAAAATAAAGTTTGACCATATTTTCCAGTAATTCTCCCATACCAGTCATATTGCATAGCCATTACAAGCTAAAACAGAAGGGGACTGCATGAGTGAAAATGCACCTCATCTTTTATTGGCATTAACATTACATGGTTACCAGAGTAAAGTTCAAAGCCAGGGTCTGTCATGGTGTGGGGGCATATTAGTGGGGAACCTGCACACCAGTGAAAGCACCATTAACGCTAAACACATTTTGGAGGAACACATGCTGCCTTTTAGACAGCGTATTTTTCAGGGACGTCCATGCTTATTTCAACATGACAACACCAAGCCACATTCTGCATGTGTTCCAACAGCATGGCTGCGTAATAAGAGAGTGCAGGTGCTAGACTGGCCTGCCTGCGGTCCAGAACTGTCTCCCACTGAAAATGTTTGTCTTATAAAGCCTATAATATGACAACAAAGGCCCTGTACAGTTGTGCAGCTCACTAAATATAACCCAAAATGTGCAATGGGTAGCGCTATCACCTCACAGCAAGAAGGGCCTGGGTTCGATCCCCCGCCCAGGTGACTGGGTTCCTTTCTGTGTGGAGTTTGCATGTTCTTTCCCTGTCTGCATGGGTTTGCTCCCACAGTCCAAAGACATGCAATCAGGCCGATTGGAGATGCTAAATTACCTCTAGGTGTGATTTTATTGGTGTGTTTGCACTGTGATGGACTGGTGAGCTGTCCAGGGTGTCTCCTGCCTTACACCCAGTGAGCACCAGGATAGGCTCCAGCACCCCCTGCAACCCAGGAGGATACGCGCCTTAGAGGATGAGAAAGAGTGAATTTCAATTACTTAGTGTGTCCACTCTTTGCCTTTATTACAGCTTCCATTCTTTTTGGGAGAATTGTTTTCAGTTTTTCAGAGAAATCTGCAGGTATTTTTCCAAAGTTCAGTCTTAAAAGTTGGTTGCATTTTCTGCTTCTCACAATCCAAGTAACCTCAAACACATTCAATGATACTGAGGTCTGGACTACAGAGTAGCCAGTTCATTGTTCTGAGAACACCAGCAGCTTCTTTGTTTGATTTGCAGATTTCTTCCTTTTCTCAGTGAGGCTTCTTGACAGCTACACATCCTTTCAGACCCATAGTGCTGACAGTAAAAGGATGGACTGCAACACCTGTGGAATTTATCAGAACTGAAGCAGCTTGATTTTCTCCTCTTTCTCAGAGATGAAAGGCTAAAGTGCTGTTTATCTGATGGGGGCAGTTTTGAGGGTCCACCAGGTCTTGCTGATGGTTGTTAGGAGTCTCGATTTCTCATCTTTTAAATATTCTTTGAACTCTAGTTTTGGAAACTTCTGTTTTTCCACTTATTTTCCTTTGACTTTCCCATTCCCTATGAGAGTGCTTTATCTTATATCTAATCTTCTCAGAAATATCTCCTGAAAATTAATAACTTGCACTTAAGAGCTGTTTTGAGTGGAAATGAAATAAACTTTCTCTTTCTACTTTCTATTTTTCTATAAAGTTTTCTATAACTTTTGAACAGTACTGCTGCAACATACAGCACCCCATTACCAAACAGACATGCTTGTGTTTCAACAGCTGCTGGTATGTGATGAGTATTCCCTGTGGGAGCGAAGGTTTTGTTTTCTTTGAAGCTTGTGGCACTTTAGAAGCCCCAAAGTGTCGGCCCACCCCACCATCAGTCTTGTGTGTGTTTATGTATAAGTGCGAAACACAAGAAGTGTGAACTCTCACAGAAACGTGCTGACGTTTGTTTGCTTGTTTGTTTTTGCCTGTTGTTTGAGTTTGTCCCTCTCTGTCATTTCGCTTTCACAGCACAAGTGAGGCTTTCACTTGATAAGGTAGGTGACAGTGGGAGTTGTGTGTGAGAATTTGTATGTGTGTGGTTTCATTATCTACATCTAAATGTATCTTTTTTTGACATATTCAGACATATCAGTATTTCATATAAGTTTTCAGTTAAACAGTATGTATGGACAAATGTTATTTAATCTAGTCATGTGTCTAAAAAAAAAATGAGATGTCATTTCTTTTGTTGAAAAAGTAAGTACTGCTCACTAGCAGACACGCGTTTCATAACTGTCTACCATTTTCTGACATCTACTGAGAGAATTTTTTGCACATCTCTACATGCAGAATTCTTTCAACTGTGCAATGCCATTCCATAACCCTCCATTTCCTCCTTTTAAGCCATTCCTTCGTGGATTTACTTGTATGTTTTCATCCTATCGCAAGGTCCACTTCATCAGCTTTAAATTTTTAACAGATGGTCTTAGATTCTCTTCAAGCACTCTCTGGTTTGAAAGAGAATTCATAGCAGCTTCTGTGATTACAGGTTGGCCAGGCCCTGAGGCAAAAAAATCATGTTACTGTGTCTTTATATTTAAATAGTAAAGCAGAACAACATTAATAACTGTAAACATTTAAGAAAAAAATCAGCTTTATTTATAACAAATAGCCCACAGACATATATGCACGCAAAAAATATTGGCTTATAATGTAATGCTAACCACACTTCTTACATACACACACAAAGGTATACAGTGGTATCCTTCCTGTGTGTGTGTGTTCTCTTCTTCCAAATAGTTTTCTTTAAGTACCTTTTCTTCCATCTCTGCCTCTCTCTTGCTCTCGCTCACTTTGTTGTGTAGTAATATTTCTTATTTGCTTAAATTGGACACTAATAAGAGAATTTTTTCATTTTAAAAAGCAGTGCACTCTTTAGAGCTGTGTGAGTGGACAAAATAAGCTTCATCACCATGTACAGTATTTGACCAAAAGTATGTGGACATCTGACTATCAGACCTATATGAACTTGTTGGACATCCCATTCCAAACCCATGGGTTGGCCCCCCTTCTGCAGCTATAACAGCCTCCACTCTTCTGGGAAGGTTTTCCACAAGATTTTGGAGTGTGTCTATGGGAATTTGTGCCCATTCAAATGAGCATTTATGGGGTCAGACACTGATGTTGGGTGAGAGGGCCTGGCTCGCTATCAATGTTCCATTTCATCCCAAAGGTGTTAAGTGGGGTTGAGGTCAGAGCTCTGTGCAGGCCACAGGAGTTCCTCCATCAAGCCTTGTCTTTATGGAGCTCGCTTTGTGCGCAGGGGCACAGTCATGCTGCAACCTAAAACTGTTTCCACAAAGTTGGAAGCATATAATTCTCTAAAACGTATGTAGTAGCTATAAAAGTAAGCTGTAGCATTACCATTACCCTTCACTGGAATTAAGGGGCCCAAACCCTGAAAAACAGCCTCAGACCATTATCCTTCCTCCAGCAAACTTTACTGTTGGCACTATGCTGTTGACACTGCAAACTCTGTGAGTCAGCCCCTGCTTTGTGGCTGAGCTGTAGCTCCTAGATGCTTTCATTTTACAATAATAGCGCTTACAGTTGACCAGGGCCGAAATCTCAAGCACTGTTTTGTTGCGAAGGTTGCATCCTATGACAGTGCCATGTTCAAAGTAACTGAGCTCTTCAGTATAACCCACTCTGCTGCCAGTGTTTGTCAATGGAGACCGCATGGTTAAGTGCTTGATATTATAGACCTATTAGCACTGGGTGTGGCTGACACGCCTGCACTCAATAATTGGTTGGGTGTCCACATACTTTGGTACTTTTCATATTTTGGTTATTGTTGTGTGCACAAACAAACAGAAACATTCAGAGGCGCAGACTTAAACTTGTCAATACAGAATGTAAATTGAATGTCAATGTAATTCATTA